AAAAAACTAAGAAATAAATATAATAATTTTGAATTTTAAAAGAAGTTAATTTAATTAAAAACATGTAATTTTTTAACATTGTTCAATTAATTAAAAAAAGAAAACAACAGATTTCAAATTTAGTTGAAAAGACCATTTGAGAAAAAAAATTAATTTTATTAACTCACAACTTATAAGCAATATTTAAATTCAGAGGGAAAAATTTATTTTTCTTAAATACAATTTTTTATTGAAATAGTTTTGGAATGAAAAGTAATTAATAGAAATATGTACTATGTATTATTTCGAAACAATTTGTTTAATTAAAAAGTAATAATTAAAGAAAATCAATAAAATAAAATCTTTTTTAAATTTAATGAGACCGAAATTTCTTAACCCATTTATTTAATTAACCAATAACGATTTAGCTGAAATTAATAGAAACGAAAAATTCCATTTGCAGCACAAGAATTAATATGACACACTGAATGACATTTAAACGCAAATCAATTAAATCACTAATTATAGTCTTTTATAACCGCAAACAGGCCCACTGTGCGACGATTTGGCAGGCAATGGTGACATTCCTTTAAGTACCGGCACTTACACACTTATGTGGTACCCACAAGATAGCAGCAGAGCAGTGGAGATCCCAGGCAAAGTGGCATACCAAACTGCATGTGTGTCCGTGTGTATGTGTGTGTGTGAACGGAGGTTTGGAGGGCTTATTGTAATATGTATGCATACAAGTGTTTGTGAGTGTACATTTGTAAATGTCGGCAAAAGTATGCTGTGACGTGAGTGTATCACGGACAAAGTCAAATAACAAATTGGCTSCACAACAATAGCAGCAACAACAAACGAACGGCTAACCATTACAAGTATGCAGCAAGGATGCCTTACGCTAAGTGTGTATGTGTATGTGTGTGAGAGTGTGAGTGTGAGTGTGCCGCTGTGTCTTGTACTGACGAAGATGAGATCAGACGAGATGACATAATTAGGTTAAGCAACATGAGCATTCTTCGCTACTAAAAGYTCCCCTCTCGCACCATGGCGTTTACCCTCCTTCCCCACAAGTTGCTTAAGSTTCGCTTTTTCGTTTGCTTTGCTCAGCTGCAGGCTGTTTCTTATTGCARTTGGTGTCGTCGCTGCTTCCGTTAGCAATGTGGCTGCTGCGGTGGCTTTGAATACCGTTAGCTGGCGACAAATTCGGATAGGGCTGATTGGTGTGCGCCATCAACTTGCGCTAATACTTCGCCCACCTTGATTAGATAGTTGAGTGTGCGGTTGTGTGGCGTCTCTCATTGTTTTTGTGCCTGTAATTGTTGTCGGTGAGCGTCAATGTACTTGCGGATCTGCTTGTAAGCCACTTTTCCCTAAATTTCGTTTACTATGCGCCCATTAAGTGCATACATACCATTTATGTGTACAATTATATATTTGTATGTATATGTGTGTATATGTGTTTTGAAGTACCCATTATGTCCGATTATTGCGCCTCTTTTGTCATCCTCGTTTGCTTTCATGTTTTGTAATGATTTAATGACACGACTTTGGCGGCTTTCACTGCTTACTTAAGCACGTATGTGTTTGTGCTTGTGAACGTATGCGTTGAGTTCGCCTGCCTTTTGTGCTTGGCTTTCAACCACTCTGAGTGCACTAAGTGAAATTTGCCCAAAAATCAAGTTCGTAATTCAAATGGCCTTGAAGAAATTTGTGTGCCATTCCCTTGTGTAGTCACACTGCCCCCACTCCCTACCTCCAGTTGGCTCCACAGTCACTTTTAAACATACACACAAGCATACACAATACAAATGCAATCACTATGCTGTGCTAAGTTGTGCTTTACTATGTTATGCGTTGCTCTGCTTGCTGTGTTGCGCGCTGCCAGCGGAAGCGCTTAGTTATGTTCAAGYCAATACAGCCTCCGCCCGAGTGTCCGAAACCAAGCAAATATCCACATTTATTCCTCTACTACATTTTTATACGTAGCAACGCTTGTGTCCATGGTTGTGTTTGTAGTGGTGCGTCTTGCTCAGTTAGTCGTAAAAGTAATAAGAGTGGCGTAGTGTATGCAGCACTCAGCTGWATTCCTCGGGCGAATTCATTTCAGTTGATTTCAGCAGTTGACAATTGACAAAAGGACTTGATGTAATGGCAATGAGGAGCTCTGTGGTTGCGGCTACTTTTGCTTTTGGGCGGCCACTGGCCCMACCAGACATGCATCTTTCACTCATTGCTAATGCACATACACATACACACTATTTTTTCTTCTATGTTTTCGTTGTTTTCTACTGCAGTACTTGTTTTGTGCGCCGAACAATGGCGAATGCTTTTTATATAATGCTGCTGCGCTTCACATTACCGACTTAACAAGCACTGGTGGTCTGTGGTGAAATTGTTTTCGAAAATTAGTGAATGAAATAGAGAGCTGCTGTTGTAGTTGCTCGCACGGCCACAATGCACTTACTTTTTACTGGCTACTATTTTTATTGTAATTCAATTTCGTTTTGTGCATTTGTTTACTTCGAATGGCTGCACTCGTACGAAACTAACTCCCTTAAGAATTTTGGTGCACTTTCAGTTAGTTTGTGTAGTGGYGTGTGCGAGCTGCACTCATTTTGGGAATAAGAGAGTGCAATATGTGCTGGCATTACTCAAGTAATATGCGCATTTGAGCTTCAGCTTACAACGCATTAAGCAAAGAGGAAAGCCATTTTAATTGCTTATCGATTCAATCTCAGCTTTGGAGCGTTTTGCCGGTATATTGTTTGTGGTTTCGAAATTAATTTGAAAGTTTGCTTCTTTCGGTTTGTTTGTATCAGGTCAATTTAACCTAAATGTATGCAAAGTTTGCTAATTGCTGCGAATATAAGTTTTAAAAGTAAAACTTAAACTGTACTGCCTACACTAAAGCATTATATGATCGAAATCGTATACAAAAAATTAAAATTAAGGTATTGCCTACATTTAGGCCTCTTGTGATATATTCATCAAAGTCACACACCAACTGTAGTGAATTTATAGTTATCAAGCGTACTAATTATTTGCTCATCACTTGTCAAAGTATTTTTCAGTTGAACAATTGCTCTGCTCACAGAAAATACACAGGGTTTGGTTCTGAACAACATGTCAGATCATTGCAGATATTTCCCTCCTGAAAAGAGTTTCAGCTTTGTATTCAGACATTTTAAAATCCAATCTCCCAAGTAGATATTCTTCCTCTAAATCAAATTATTATTCAAAAATTACGTATGATCAAATGCATATGACACATGACAAGGGATCGGAATGGGCGAGGTAGCTGGAATCGGTTTAAAAACTTAAACTAGCTGCCGTGTATTATTTTATTTGACAACCTTATTTTATTCATAAAATTTATAGTTATTTGAAAATAATAGAGCTGTTGCTATAATTTAAAGCGAGAAAGTGGGCAGCAAATGTTCCCAAAATGTTTTAAGGAAATTCAGCAAGGCTCTTGAGGTATACACACTTTAGCCTTTAGTGACAAGTTTTAATTAAGGCGTGGTGCAACTCTTAATTGAAGTTGAAAATAAATTCGTTGTCTAAAACGCTCTGATATTATGTAAATATCGCGTCTGCTTTAAAATAGAGGAAGCGGACTTTTGGGGTWTCAGAAACTAAAAACAAAATTATATTTTTTTCCAACGAAACATGCGGCCCAAAGTTTAACACCTTGAGGACGGTACAGTTTTTAGTAGTCAGTTTCATCTGGCAGCTCCTAGAACAGTAAATAGTAAAGGCAAATGTCAAAGTGCGCSTAGAGGTCGTAGTTTGATTTCATTTAACAAAAATAGTTCTGAATCAAAACCAGATGAAACCTCAGTGCGTGACCCATCGGTGGGATTATAAAGAGATATAAACATTGTTGGACCTTAAGAGCATTGCAGACCATATGTAGTATAGGTAACAATAGATAAAAAGGTATTGACTTGTTTTTTCTTGGCACAATAACTACATAACCAACAATTGTCGAAAAACAAAAGATAAAATAGTATTATATTTTCTTTTTATGGAAGCCTTTTAAAAGATCGCAACCGCAATTCGAACTGTCAGTTATATTTGGAATAAAATTGTGATAACAGGTACCTGGTTTAGGGTGAACAAAAGAAACGTTAACTACTTGATCACTTGCATCACTGCTCTACCTGCGCTTTTCCCTATCTGCTTCCTTTAAGCTAGCGAAAACATTTCAGATATAAAAGGGATACCAAAGGTGATTCCACAAGCACTGGTTTGCTATCGAAAAAATTCGAACTGCTATCCAAATTACAAGTTAAAAAGAAAACAACAGATTACTGTGTCCGGAAAACAGGGCTTGAATAAGTTCAGCGTTCATCAAGACCAATGKTTGGARCTTCGGGAKCAGWTATGTTATTCCAGCCGTGCGAAATGGAAGATGCAGCTGTATTTATGCTGATGGTTTACAGAATTATCGAGTCAGAATATTAGTTTTAGTTTGTTATGTATAAAATTATATTATTGTTTAAGAAAATTCTTAAATTTTCTCTTATAGTTGAATTAAGTTATCAATTATAAAATAAACTTGTGAAGATGGTTTCAAAAGAAATTTACATATTTAATTGAATGAGCGATACATCTGTTAACTTATTATTTGTATTTGTTGAACATTTGTTTAGTTAGTCACTAGACCTTGCTAGCGTGGCTACTACTTGATATCTTGCTAACTAGAACAACTAAGTGGATTGGTGGTCGTGGAACTASCCAAAGCGAAAACATAAACTGTAAGGAATTTGTAACAAATCAAGAAATTGATTTCGATTGAACTAATATTTTAAAGGAAAAATTTTGCGAAGTAATCAGATTTTGTGAGAGAAAATACCCCTTAGGTTTTGTGGTTTTAAAATCTCGTCGGTTATACCAAAATTAATTTTATAGAAAAAAATTTAGGTGTATTATGAAATTTCCATAATCTATGATTCAACTAATCCATCCCAAATCTGATTCGAAATTAATATTTAATAATTGGTTTGGTAAAGTAAATGATTTTGTTCGTGCAAATCTAGAGAAATTTCAAAAACTTAGTATGCTGAAAAYGATAAAATGCATCGGATTATTTTTTATGCAACACAATGAGAAGTTGTAAGAATTTTGCTTTTTAGACAACATTTTTTAAAAATTAACCAAGAAGTGAAAATCATCCTTAGCCATATTTAAGGCAATAAGGCTATAGTAGTTCCTTTATAAAATTAAATCAATATCAAATTCAATTTTATTTCCCTTTCACCTTTTTCTTTAACTTAATTGAGAGGAAAAATTTCATTTTTTTAAAGTCTCTATCGAGTGATATTTGCTCAACTCATCTTAACGTTTTACATTTCCACATTTTTTTCTGTCGAGTCATCAGCTTGGCATGTAAAGAAAAATTACATGCGATTCAAAGGCCGCATTATCCGCTGCTGAAGCATTCACTTTGCCAACTCAGCATGCAAACATACACATTTACGCACAAGAAATAAATATTTATGAAATGGCCACATATGTAGTATATACGCAGACGCAAATGCATAAGTATGTGTGAAACATATGCGTTGTGAAATACGAACCTCTCTGTCGCTATGCACAGTCACTTCCGCATTCCGTATGGGTTCGCCGTCCAATAGCCATGTAATCTTCGCCGCCGGATATGAACCCCACGAATCGCAGCGCAAAGGCACAGGCTGGCCGGCAGTTAGCAGGTCATTGGCTGTGAGGATTTTCACGCGCACCGGTTTCACTGCGGAAAAGTAGATAAACACAGGCATACATATTAATTAATGGCACTGCGAGCAAACTGTTTGATATATGATAAATATAGGAGGATATATATATACTTCTAAAKAKATATGTRTATTTATATATAAGTAAATATGTATAATTGCTCAACAAGTTCACTTACAATGCACCTGCACCGTTACATCCTTCACCACCGGCGCTATCAGTTTAGTGCCCTGCGCTCGGCACTCGATTTTCGCGCCGAAATAGTCACGTGTCGTGGTGCCAATCAACAGCTGATTCACCATAACTGTGGCACCCTCTTCCACAGACGTGTGGCTGGTGCCCTTCAGCTCGACATCATCGCGCCACCAAGTGACTTTGGGCGCTGGACGACCTGGAAGGATGGAATGAAAATGTATATTAGTTACAATATATTGTATAAATTTGAACTAAAAAGTATCGTACACTCATAAAAAGTACTTGAGATCCGCTTTTTTCTAAGTGGGTGGGATATTTTGGACTTTTTTCCGATAAATTCTAAAATATTTGATCTTTCTCGCGAACTTTATATAATGCAAAAAGCACACTTTCACCAAAGATGATTTGAAATTTCTATTACATCCACAATTTTTCTGGATCTCTCTTCTAAACTAAGGGTGCCGTGGCATCCATTGCACAATAGGCTTCACCGAAATACTCAGTATAGAGAGTGTGTTCCCCAAACCTAAGCTTATATTGTCCATCCTCAGAATAATAATATTATCACAAGCAACAACTATAAGAGTTCCAAAAATAGTGTACTTAGAATAATACTGTAAAGCACTCGTATTATTGTGTGYCATGCTCTTCGCATGGATTTCAACATTGTCTCAACTAGTACTGAATCGGAAGTGCACCAAATAGTTATCCCCTAGTGCAAAAACAGCAAAATATGTTGTTTTCTTTCTTTGTCATTTTATTTACAAAAGCTTAGCTCTATTTGCTAAATTCCACTTGAAATCCAATATTCACAATATTTATGCAAAGTGCACTCGGGAAGAAACAAAATACGATTAGCTGCTGCGATCAAAATGGTGCGATAACGCTTACAAAGAAATGCCAATCTCTGTGACAAGCAAATACCAGCAATCTGGTTTTAAAAAACCAACACTTCGCACAGAGTAAAAGCGAAGAAAGCGTAGCAATTCAGAGAAATTCGATGACACAAAGAAAGTGTGGAGAAAACAACATGCAACAAATAACAACACATACATACATATGTGCATACAACTAAATATCGCCGCACTAGCTGGCACATCAAATGACATATATGGAGCGAAGTGGAAACAAGTAAAGGAATGYCACCGCTGCGTATACGCAACATTGTTGCTTATTTGCAGCTTACTTTTGTCTTTATCATTTCGACAGTGTGTGCGGCGGCAAATAAGTTTATAGATATAAACAATACAAATTTGTCTATTTTTTATTTTTTTTTTTGTCTAATTTATGTAAATATATTGTATATAAGAGAGACGAAGATGAGTGTGTGTGAAAGCCAGGAATAGATKATGTCTCTGAATAATTCACTTTTCTTGCAGGTTTTAAGTTGAAGACGAAAAATTAGTCAWGCAAATTTTGCATTTTCAAAAGGAGCATATGCATCAATAAGTATTAGGGTGGTCCATAGTACTAAAGGAAATTAAAAAAAAATATAGTTTATAATACTCTGCTTTAAGAGTTTGTTGCTACTTACTCTGTAGATCAAAGATTTTAGCGTTTCGATAAAGAAATATAACAATATTTGTGTATCTACAGGGTAATCCGAATTCTCACTTAACCACCTCCAATTGTGATCAAAATCAAAACTTAATACCGCTTATGAAGAGAGAGAGCAGAAATAGCGCCTGCTTCAGAACTACCCTAATGCCGCCAAATACAATCTATATTTGAAGGGGGTTCAAACATGCACGCTCGATTGGAAAAAATGTCAGCATAAATTAGATAACAAGAATGGAATCATCGTTGTACAAAAAATTGTTGTCATGGTCATGTTTGGCCACAAGCCACCAACCAACAACAACGGAGATGCCGCCAGCGCACGTGCATCCCAAGTCATGTTTAACAAGAAATGCACAAACATACTTCTGTTCGAATTTTTTTACCATAATGTATATTTACATATATATGTGTGTATGCTCAATAAACAAAAATTTCGGACGCTAGCAAACGCATTACTTTGCGCTGCTCTGTTAGATATTCCACGCATGGAACTCGTTTAGCGCGAAGTTTCTACGACGCCGTGTGTGTGTGTGTGAGGCACGAGTTGAGTGGGTACACGAAGAGTAAAATAGTTTGTATTAACAAAGTGTGCTATGGCATTTTCAAGGGCACCTACGTTGAAAAGTTGCCGACAGCAAAATAACTGAATATATTTTTATGCGCTGGCGTGGGTTGCTCGGATTCAGTGGATATACAATTGATTCTTAGATTAGTTTTAGCCGGAAATCCAGTTCAGCTTTTACAATTGATGCGAAAATGCACAGAAAAATTTAGCAAAGCTTAATCAACTTTAGTTGTTGGGCAGAAAATAACATATAAAAGGGCGGAAGGAGAGATTGAAAGTGGCTTTAAATATTGCAAAATTGATATTTCTTTAAGTAGCGTATAGTATGTATACTTATACTTTAGTATATATGTATATATAGAAAAACAAGTATAGGGTGATCTTGGAAGACGTACTTTTTTCAATAGCCTTTTTCTAATAGACCACGCGTGATTCGCGTCAAGATGTCATGTCACGTTTTTTCAGTATTGTTTGGCTGAGAGTGTAGAAGCAGCTGGCARCAACTCGAACTGACTTATGGAACGACTTGGAGCATTTGACGTCGATAAAGCATACAAAATACATTTTCTGCAAGGGACATCGCATCGCTCTTTAAAAATTCCAAAAAAGCCCGACATTTTCGGCGCAAATTTTGTTTCGCCATGAGGGCCATTTCTGGCTCAATGGGTAAAGAAACAAGCAGAATTCCTGCATTTGTGGCAAAGAGTAATCTGAGAAGATACAAGAGCTGCCAATTCATCCAGATAAAAACAAGGTTTAATGTGTTTTGTGGGCCAATGGAATTAAGGGTCCATATTTCTACAAAAATGATAGCGACGAGAAAGTAATGGTGACTATTTTTTGCCTGAAATTGAAGTTCGTGGTCTCGACGACATTTGACTTCAACAAAACTGCGCCACGTCCTACACATCATAACAATCAATGGGTTTATTGAGAGAACACTTCGGTGAGCAAATAATTTCACGTTTTGGGCCGATCGATTACCCAACATCGTGTAATATCACACCGTTAGATTTTTCCCTGTCGAGATATGTAAAGTCCAAAGTCTACGCAGACAACCCCCTTCGAATTAGACCTTGGAAAAAATATTACGCGTGTCGTTCGCCAGTTATCAGTCGAAATTCTCGAAATAGTCATCAAAATTTGAACTCAACGTATAAACCATCTGAGACGTAGCCGCGGCCAATTTTTGAAAAAGATAAACTTTAACAGATTAATGTTAAGGAATATTATTTCGAATGACAACAAACATTCTCCACTAAATTTRAATTTTGTGTGTTTTTTCTTTAAAAAAGTAGGGAACCTCGAAATCTAACAAACCTTTAAATTCATGATATATTTTTGGCTGTAGAGCAAAATTTAGATGCTCAGAAAAATTTGTAAGAGGAGTAGTATCTCGCCATAAAGGTGTGTTATGTGTGTCATTATACCAATTTTGATCTCTTTGCATTTTTGTATTTTTATGACGGCTAGAAAGAGAGCTTTTTACTTAATTGTTTGTCGAGTTCACTCCAATGGATTTTTTAAATTTGTGGTTAGGTGTTTTCCAATAATTTTGCATCTTCTCACGCTTACTCTTTGCTGTGTTTCTGGAGCAAATTTAGCAAAATTGCAAGTTTTTCGGCCTTCTTAGAGTTGGTTCTCTTGTGTTGRTGTGTATAACTTACATTTATGTTATTCCCTAGCTCTGCCATATATTCTCTACCAGATTGCGCTGTTTATACGGGAGGAGTACTATCTTTTAAAGGGTGTTGTTTGTAGTCCGTCTATTTTTAATCTACATATTGCTATGCTTTTTCCGATGTTGATGACATTAACTGATAAGCTGGCCAAATGTGCCCAGAAGCCTTTGGAACAAAAAAAAATTGTGCCCAATTTCACCACCATTCTACAATAGTTTTCATAAAATGTCATATTTTCCAAAATAACAAAAAAACTTGTAGTCGTTGCCTACATTTTGGCGAATATCTGAAAATTCTAATTGGGATGAATGGAAAAAGTGGACTTAACTAAAATATTAGGGGTAATATGATATAGGTTCGAACTTTAAGATTCAATATAGAATTTCAAATTAGAGTCTAACTATTTTATTACCTTTAAGCTAATAAGGGTAGTATCTGTTGTTAGGAATTATTTAATATTTATTAACGCACAACGCAAGTCATTATTTTCTCAATCGTTTTACTTCTTATTTATCCTAAATATATTGTAACTCAGCTGATGATAGATTTTGACCGGTTCTAATGAAGGTTTTTGACCTTAAGTAAGAAATTTTAGACTTTTAACATATCAGTTTGTAATATAATGCGTTCCTGTTTTTTAGTTATGAGAGGGTCAATAAAATAGTTCTTTGTTGAAGGTATATTCTGCTTTTCAATTTCATGGTGCGCTTTAGTGGCGCAAATTAAAGAAACCACTAGAGAAAATATATGGAATAGTATATCGTGAGGGTATGTACACTTTGAACAGTTTAGTGTATAAGACTAAGCTGGTGCGGCTTATAGCCGGAAATAATTTTTTTAAATTACTTCACGAAAATTGTAAAAAAAAATGACGGTTATTAACTTAAAAACCCTTCGAGTTTGCCTTAAAAACYATAAGAATTTAAAGCGTACTTTTCCCATTCCATTCCAATGTGTGTCAGGTTAAATTGCATATATACGCAAACACACACATAGAAACACGTTTAGGTTAACACAATTGAATAAAACTGATACCCACAATAAAAAAAAAAAAAATGCGGTTCTAAATGAAACCGCGTGTACACATATATACAAACTCGTACAAGCCGAAACATGTAGCGATATTACACGTATGTCTTTTGTGAGCATGTGTGTGTGCGTTGATTAAAAAAGGGACTGACGTTAACAAATCACTTACCTCCTTTAACTTGACAGCATAAAAAAAGTTCATAGCCCTCACGAAATGGTCCGGCCATTTGGGCAATCTCCTTGCCTTGTGCATCGAAAATGCGTGGCTCCTCGGGGGGAACTGTGAAAGCAGGCGTGGCAGTTATGAGACGGCGCAGCGACGAAGGATATTCGAAAAAGAGAGAAAAATGCGCAAACATAGAGAACGGGTTAATTGAAAGTAAAATAAAATTAATTTGCTTTGAAGTGAGCAATTGGTTTTGAATTGCCCGCAACCGTATGTGTGTGTGTGTGCGATATACAAACATACATTTCGGGTATATAAGATATCCTGTTGTGTGTGTTTAATTTTGTGTGTTTTATTTCATCTTTCACTCACCGACTAATGTTAAATTAATTCTAAAGTTGCGTGTTGGCGAATTGAAAAAGTCTATTCTACAACGGTAAATGCCGCCATCTGTTGGCTTCACATCGCGTATCTGCAGGCGCGAGTCCTTCAGATTATCGCCAATGGAGAAGAACAAACGCTGACCCAAATCGCTAGCTATGGCCGAATGCGGTGCTAATTTGATATTTCCGCCGCGCGAATCCAAGCTGCAATGAAGATGGTATTTAATCAWTTTCAATTTCGATAACTAAAAGCATAAGTTTTCTTTTTCAATTTTTTATAAGAGGGCTAGATTGTTATTGCTAGAATTATATTCGTACGATTTGAATTCATTTTAATGTTTAGCGTATATGAAATATTTGTATGTTTCGATAATTAAAATATTAATCATTTCTTTGCGTTCTCCTGCAAAAAAAAAAAAGGGAAATTAACAGCAGATTAGGTGTGCGACTTCGCTAAATATTATTAATATCGTCCCTAAATGTAGGCAACGTTCTATGCAATATTTATTTTGTATTTACTACATTGTGTATTAAAAAAATCCAATATACATATGATGATTATAGTAATATTTATTTGCGTAGAAATAAAAAAATGTATGCAATTAATTCAACAATATTTAGCATATAGGAACTGCATGCTCACTTTCTATAGGAACTTTCATAAAAACCACTATAACAGCTTAAAAGACCTTAAAGAAAAAATATATATTCAGCTTAAAATTTTATGGATTTAATTGAGGTTAAACACTTGTTGAAAATAATTTCMAAGTAATTTTTGAGAACAAAATTTAACTTGGTTTGACTGTAAGTAAAATTCTTTAGTATATGTGCACGCAAATGCGGTTTATCATATTTTGAACAAAAATTGGTTTAAACCGATTGAAAGTATCTTACAAAATTTGCTTTAATAGGGAAATGTTCAATGTTGGTATGCAATGGCTAAGATAAAGTTGCTATTATTACACTTTGATCTAAGTCATAAGGACGAGAAGCGATTAAGATAAAATTAATATTAATTATTTAATAACCTTTTACTTAGCATGACTATTTGGATATTTATCAATATATACACCAAAAAATTTCAAGAATTCTTTCGGTGATTTATTAACTTTGTTTAGATCCATATCTACTACTATAATATTTGAATAGATAAGATTACAGTTTTACATTGAAATCATGAGCTTGCTGGTAGTATGCATTGCCTCATACTTCACGCGTCGAGAAAAACAACTAGAGCCTGTGTTGAGGTAGTTTCCATAGCGCCTATAAGGCACAGCAGTGGCACTTATTACTAGGAATTTAATATACCACTTGTTCGATATTGCCATCCAACATATGTCCACAGCATACGTTAATTAATGTGTGTAGGGGGATGACAACCCGATAGATAATGTGGGGTCATAAACTCCACTTTGGACCAACAGCCCTTAGGCAGTAGGGTCCGTTTCGCAAAGCTTTGGAAATCCTTTATAAAGCTTAGCTTTTTATCTAAGATGACTACGAGATATTTGTCCGAGCTCGAGAGTAGAGTTCTGCCCTTTAAGAAAAGGATATTGAATTGCAAGTTTTTCGTTTTTCTTTTAAAAAGTGTTTAACAATTAAGCAATTAAAGACATCTCAGCGGCTCTTTCTATGAGACGGGATTGGCGATTAAAATTCATCTCTGAACAGAGAACAGCGTGGTTAAAATTCTCGCCGTCGATGAGAAGTATTAATTCATTGATCAAGGTGACCGAAAGCAAGTGATATAGTGAGAATTTTCATATATAGGTCATAGGTCTCTTGCTAAGCTGTGACTTAACCAGGCCAGCTGGTTCTGCTCAATCATAAAGCAATAGCCGATATCGGAGCAGTCGTATTAGCGTTGTTGAAACTTAAACTTAAACAAAAACTTAAACAAAAACTTAAACTTACACTTGAACTTAAACTTAAACTTAAACTTAAATTTGGTATAAAACTTTAATAGAAAAATTTTGGAAATGACTTATGGTTTCTTAGGGTAACCTTTGCGCCATTTGTTAAATAAAATGTATTAAAATTATAAATTTTGCTTTGGAAATTTGCATAAAAAAAATGATGAAAATTAAGGGAACTGATAATAATTATGCCTTTCAGAAACTTGTATAATTTTTTTTTTCAAAAATTATTTTTGAATTTACGTAACTGTGACTTAAATGCTTTAAAATGGTAATTCGAAGATATAAATAGATAAGCTATGGCGTCTACAAACCAGGACACCCCCAATCAGAGAACCCACGCTTAGACAACTATAATGTATTCAAAAAAGAAGAAACGAAAATACGACAAAAACAATAACAACTACGAACTTTTTAAAGTACGTATATATATACAGAAAATTGCATAGACAAAACCACAAAAATGTGAACTTAAAATGGCGAAAAAACCAAAATTGAAAACGGGTCACGAAAATTGTGTGAACACTGGCACCTTAGCGTTTGCGGTCTACCGAACACCACACACACATACATAAATGCATATGTGTGAGAGTAGGCGTGCATGCGTAACGGTACTTTTTGGAGCCTAATGTGCGTCTGTCACCAAACGTGAGCGTAACGCGTCAGCAGACGAAAAGGATACAAAAAGCCGAGGCAACGGCAACAAGCGRCGCCGGCGCTGCTTATGACGACTACATTTGTGGCTTGAATCAAGCCGATCCGCAACGCAAGCACGTGCGTTGAGGAAAATAGCAAAAAAAGTGGAGAATAAGAAAAAAAGCAGCTTCGCTTGCCTAGACTATAATACCCTTTACGAACACAGAAGATGTCTTAGAAGCACTTGGTTCGGTTAGTTTGTTTGGCAGCTATATGCTATAGTTACTCGATATCTGCCATTCCGACAAATTTGCAAATTCTTAGCGAGAAGATAACGGGTGCAAATTTCTGAGGGACTTGTTCCTGGTTCAGTGCATAAAAATAGCTGATTAATGGAACACAAAGAAACATATATAACTATATTCGTATATACACATTAGATCTGGTTGATTCACAGGGAACCAAAAAACCGAAAAATCTCGTTTGCGGAAAATGCTCTATATATCCACCTTTTCCTAAGGGACTAAGGCTCTAAAACCGCTTTTAAGGCGATTTTTTTTAGAGATCATAAAAACTTGTTCGAAAGAGATTTCCGAATGAAATTTAATATGTAAGTGCATTTTGATATTCTATTAATTATTTGTGAGAATCGGTCTGATCGTACTACTATAACATATGTCTCCCATGCAACCGATTATTTCTATTTTTAAACATTCTTTAAAAATCATTGCTTCGAAACCGGTTTTACAAACACAAACTCTTCGGCTAAGTTGCGCAGAATAATTCGCAGAAGATTTCGTGCTTATGCTCTTCTTTAAAAAACTGAATGACCCCCTCTAATATACACACATGTATGTATAAGTTTATAGGTGCCTAAGCCTTAACCACAAAGGCCTCCATTTCTCTTTGTTTATTTGTTTGTTTGCCTGTGCACAATTGGCATGGCGGCCAACCACTAACGGTGCGCCTATCTCCACACATATATGTATATACACATGTATGTGTGTGTGTGTGGTGTTGGCTGCAGTGATGAGTTTTCAATTTCCTTTTAAAATTTATAACCTTCATTGTAGCCTTTCAACCATTTGCGGATCCTTTTGCCAGTTAACGGTACACTGCCTGCTTTCGCCAGTGATGCAACATTGCACTTGCATGTGTGTGTGTGTGTGGCTGTGTAACGGTATAACAAATAACTGCACTTATAAATAACATAGTGAGCGCTTGTAGTCCGAGCTAATGATTAAGTGATTTTAACTACCTGTAAAGTGGTATTCCGGTGGAGTCCTTGAACCACAACAGCARCTTCACGGAGTCCTGCGGCGTCGGAGGCGTTAGATCGCACAGCAAATCGACGCTTTTGCCAACTGCAGCCCAAACAACTCTGGCAGGTACTGCAAAGAGAAAGCAAAAAAAGAAAATGAGCAAATGAAAAGTGTGCAAAGAATATGTGAAGGAAGTAAGTACTATAAACAGCATGTTGTTGTTGTGCTCTAAATAACTTGCTTGTGAATATATATATCTATATATATGAATGTATGTATAGAAATGTTTACAGCTACAATGCCACATAACAAATATGCTCTTTGCTACTTATTACAATGTTTATTCCGTTTCCTTAACGGACTGCAGAAACTATTTCCTATTTGTACATCCTTTTTTCTCTGCGCCATTTCCTTGTCTATGCACGCCCACCCGCACTCCTACGCTACTGTATTGCTTAGTCTCAATCTTTATCGTTTTGCTGCTGTGTAGCCTGCACAGCTTCCTCTACTTATGCCCTGTCAATGCTTGCGCGCTCCCTCGCTCCCTCGCTCACTCAGCTCTCTCCCTCCTTGTAGCGCTGCCGCTGCTGCTRCTGCTGCTGTTGAAGGGCAATAATTTTGCTCTATTGATTGTTTGTATATACATATTTTGCTACAACTTCCGTTCTGATTCATTGATTTCGTTCTACCCTCTTTTGCGTCAACGGATCCAGCTATTTGCAACACGCTTGAGTGAATGCAATTATGTGCTGCTCCTGCCGTTCGTTTCGTTCGTCCCCTCGCCACTGGTGCGCTGGTTAGCGCGCCTGTTGTTGTCGCCATGCGTCAGTGCACGGCCAGCAGACCATACGAGTCTTTATTTCTTTCATTACTTTTTCCCATGTTTTTCCTTTTCTTTTTGCTATGTTCGCTTGGCGAAAGTTGCTTGCTACTTAGCTGCTATATCCCTTGCTGAATGCTTTTTTATGGCCTTACATTGTTGTATTTACGAGTTTTGGCGTAAATTTTTTTCTGTTGCCTGCGTTTAGGCGCATGTGGTTTTATCAGCAGCACATTTTGGCGTCGGCTAACGTTTACTGTCGTTGGTTGAGGTGCCAAATTTAGTGTATCTGGCATTTTTTAGGAATTCTTTCCAAACTACGTTAAGCACGCGTCTATTGAACTCGCTATTGAGGGAGCAGCAATAGGAAAGTTTTCAATTAGGCATAAGTGCCTAGGACTATGCTAGTATTTCCAGATGTCGAATGCCTCGGCTTTAAGTTTATTCTAATTTAGTATCTACATCTGACATAAAAATTATTTCTGTAGAGAATTCTAATCGATTTAATTTTCGTTTTTGATTTTAACTATTTCTAAAAATTAGTGTCAATAAATGGTGCTTTTGTTGTCGAATATATTGAACATCAGCTAAAAGCCAGGGAAGTTATCAAAATTAAAATAAAAAAATAAATTATTTTTCCTTAAATTTAACGCCACCGTATTGGTCACATATGTGCTTTTCAGATTTTTAGCCCGATCTCAAATATGTTTGACCTCGTATAGGTTAAACATTTACATTTCTTAAGTATTTTACTATACATAAGTATTTAATTTTACTAAAAGGCAAAATATGAAAAGACTTTGATATAAACGTTGTCGAAAAATACATTTATTCCCACTGCATTTATTAATATTCTAAATATGATTTAGGAAATACTGCAAAATTAGCTTCTAAATTGTATTACTTCCATGCATCCGCAAGCTTTTTAAATAAATTCAAATTTTTGAATGAAGAAAGTATAAATGTATAAATAGAGTCACAATAAGAAATTTTATACCCAACTCATTTGTTGCCTACATTTAGGGATCTTATCGAATATTAGCGAAGTCACTTACCTAACCTTGTATACCTTGGGTTTTCGAATTGAGTCAGATATGGCTTGCTATAAAGTTATTATTAATTATATAATTTTTGCAATGTTATTCATCTGAATGAAGCTTTGCTACATAAGTATCTTGCTGGGTAACCACGGAAGGTCGGTGTTTCACGTAGGCGTATTCAAACTACTACCACGCCCACAAAACGGCATTAAATGAGAACCTACAAATTGCCATAACAAAGCCGCAAAATAAGATACAAAACTGTTATTTAGTACAAGAAATCGCATTTGGGCTGTTATATGTCTTTAAAAAAAATCTCTGTAAAACGTACCATTTCGACACATTTTGCGACAACATGAAAATAGGTTAAATTGTATGATAGCCAATTTCATTGCCCATTTAACACATAACAAAATTTCAATAACAAAGCAGGAAACAMWTAATATAACGAGATTAAACTTTGCATGAATATTTTCCTTGAAGTATGCTTCATTATGACCGTAAATTGTTCAAATCTAACGAAAACTGCTCAAACCTCTAGGTACCGAATATGCGCACGCCAGTACCTATGTTGATATCGAAAATGTCGTTCAATGTGTGAATGACATAAGTGAATTTCAGAGAGAATTATTTCCTGTTAATGGTATTTGTGTGTGTAAAAAGTGGGTCAAACCGGATTAATGCTTTCTTTAGCGCTCGTATACTTAATATAAAGACTTTCGAACTTATGGATGCCTTTTTAGCACGTATATCGCCCAATATGTGAGTTATCTCAATGAAGATAGGAGAACGAGTTTGACTCATGACAACGTATCTTTGTCACCAGAATGGATAAAATTGGGCGAAAACTTRAGCTAGCCCCCATACAACTGATATTAGGATTTCCCAACATCAGACTGACTTTACGCCATACAGATTGGCGATTCTTATGTGAAGATTGTATCCTTGGGCATTTTACTAGACTGTGGCATATTTGTTCTATGTAGCATTAGCAAAAATAGATAAAATCGATTCAATACTACCCAACTCTCGTATACTACTTAGCATGATTTTATGTGATATGAATGATGAAAGACCCGAGAACAGGTCTTCTGTCAAAATTAATAAAATCCCTTTCTCTGCCCTCAATGTATAMCATAAAATGGTTTACGTCTTTTCACCTTTACTTTACTTTTTCACCTTTATTTAAACCCCTCAATTGGCTAAAATATTTGACATTTTAGTGAAACTAAACCAAAAAKATACCAAATTTGTTTGTAATCCATTCCCGACTTCGTCGAATAAGGAATGCTGAGTTCTTTTGAAAAATTCCTTTAATACGAAATTATGTTAATATCAAAGGTATTTCCCCAACTTTGATGCTTGCAAGTCGGAGGACTAGACAAATGTTTGGTTWCGCTCGAACTTAGCCGTTCCTTATTTGTTATACATAAAATATGAATAAACTTGAAGAAGAAACTTGAAATTTTCTATCAAATAGTTAGAAATGCACTTTTAGGTCTTTATCGGTTTGACACCTTCGAGAACAATTTCAGTGGTTATTCAATATTTTGTTTATATATCAAAATTGCCACGTTGTTTGCAAGGCTAAAATTAAAATATCGAAGAATTTTTAAAGTAGATATAAAGTCGGCACACAAACGGACTCATGACAATTAAGAGAAATATTTTTTTTTACTTCTATATGCTATAAGTTTCAGTATATCCATTTTTCTTTTTTCYTTTTYTTTTTMGTTAAATTTATTCTTATTTTARCCTTTCTAGATGTTCTGAGAGCTCTATATATTTGATGAGAAATCTTTAAGTTTTTAACTAATTACCATTTCACTTTAGTTTTAGCAAAATGCTTAAAAGTTAACCAAAGTACTTATTTAATATTTAGTAAGCATAAAACCAAAATTATATATAAGTGCACTAYTCCCCTCACCCTAAAGCCACAAGCAAACATATTTCTTAATTCCWGCGCATAACTTAATTTTTAATGAACAGTATTGAAATTTCAAGAAACTTAATTTAATTATGGGGCAAACAAACGCACACACACAAACATTGGCATGTGCGCTGCAGAGAAAGCRAGCCACCTACGCTTTAAAACGCGGCTGCCGCTGACACAAATTCCATTTTCTCCAGCGGCAAATTCGAGGGGAAAATCATTTTCAATTAACGCAAAACGTTGCTCACCGAATTTTCAGYATGCAGCTTTCTTTGCGGGATGGAAAAAAGCAGAAAAGTGGGAAAAAATGTGACAAGACAGACGACGCCCTTCGCACACAGCCACAGATATAGATACGAACACAACAATCGAAATAAAAACGAGCAAACAGCAGCAACAATGAAAGGGAGACATCAAATGACACTGCGGCAATATTTTCCTGTTGTAATTTATGAAAATGTGAAATGCTTATAAAAAGCTTTTGAGTGAACACATATCTTTGAATATTCAATATATACATACATACCCACATATGTATTTATGTACACAGCGGCAGCGTGTTGGTGTGCACGAAAATCTTCTATTTGCTTTTGACAGCAATATTTTCCATTTTCGCCCCTCTCCAATACACACTCACACACACACTTGCATATTGGAACCGTCGAAACAAACGAAATTGCTGTAGACCTTTGTCGGCATTTGCTATTTTTAAACGTCATCGGAAATCTCACAAAATGATTTAGTTTCGTTTTTATGATTGCTTTTGAAATACAACATAATTTTCTAAAAATACCTGAGCGCGCACCCCAAACACAAATTACATCATTTTTGTTGTATAGTACACATATTTCTTGCTGTTGTTGTCGCTAGCTAACATTCCAGCGAGGCGGAATGGCGCATGCCGGCGTTGACAGTTGCACTGTTTGCCATGCATTTGCTTACAACAACAAAAATAACAACAACAACGGTGCCCTAAAACACACGTAAATGGCCCACGCTGCATAACGGTAATAATTTGATGAAGTGCATAAGTGAATGCGCTTTTATTTTAAGACGCAAAGTGCGCATTGCCTTTCGCCGCACAAATCACTCGAACGCAGTGCACGAAAAAGTGTTGCAGGCGCGGTGTGTTAGTGCGATGAGGCATGAGGGGCGCATATGCACGTATCGTCGCTTAAGCATTTCCAGCTGTTCCGTGCAACACACTTAAGCGCTAACGTTGCAGTTGCATTAGCAATTTAATTGACTTCTTCAATTTGTTGCACGATTCGGCCTTTCAACATCCATGCTGCATGCGTCAATAATAAAAAAATGCCAAGTGTCAACACGGGGATTG